ATATATATATATATATATATATATATATATATATGTATATATAAGTGGAAGACACTTTTTGTTTCTTCTGGAGAGACGGCGAGACAGAGTGTGAGAGAGAGAAAAGTGAGTGTTTTTTTTTATTTTTATTTTCCTCTTTTCTTTTCCTCAGATCTACGAAGATTGGACTATTTAATCGCTTCGGGCCAAGAACTAAAGTTGTTCTACTCAGCGAGAGCTACGCAACCACATCAAATATCGTATTTTTCTCCGAAATAATATCAAAGCCGATAATCTAGACCTAAAACTTAAGAAGCTAAATTTGGGCTTCCTTGGCGTTCTAGTAAGTGGGCTCATGCTATGAAAGATAGGGTTTCTCCTATTTAGATTTAATTTTAACTTAAAATATGGCATATGAAATGGATAGGCTATGAGTGTATACTACATGTTAGGTCTTGACTAGTGTGACTAGTGGGTCAAATATAAGAATTTTAATTAATCTTGTGATTAATAAAATCCTATTGTGATTAACTTGGTGTAAGTTAATGTTAGTGGTTTAAAGAATGTTAATTGTATATTAGCATTACTTTATATTTTAATGGTAGATCAAATTTAATAAAATTATTAACTTGTTATGTGATTATAAAATAATATGTATGTTAAATGATTATTTGACATATGATTATTTTGGTGGACTTGTGCTTATGTTTATATAATTAATAAACATGTTGTCATGTTACAGGTCATAACATGCTAGTTGTGTAAATTGATGTGTTCTTTAGGTGTTTGATTAAATGCCTAGGTGAATACAAGTATGTTAATTGAGTTAATTATCTTACATAACATGTTTGAGATCATGTTAAAATGTCATTATATTGTATTCATTATGTAATGGACATTGTATTGCATTATGCATGGGTTGCACTACATTCATGGGCATTAACATGGGTGGGAGTGTATGCATGGTATGAAATCAATCACCACATAGGTGGTTAATCGTGGGCTCGAAAAAGTTACACCAAGGTTCGGCCGAGTCGCACGAGAAACTTAAATGAATAAATGTGTTAGAGACAGCAAGAAGGGCTAGATTCTCCCTCGGGTGCAAGATCCGCTTACTTGGTTTATACACATTTCGGCGGTGAAATTCCAGAAAAGTGTAACAGCGAAAACGGAGCCGCAGGTGGGATGTCCTGAAGATCAGTTGATGGTTGGTCTCCTATTGGTGTAATACCATAAATCACATCCCCACAAAGACACAAAAAAATGAATTAATTAGTCATTGAGTGTACATAACACCAATGATGGGGGCTTAGAATGCCCGGATACATACGCATGACATTGCATGTGTTATAGTAACTCAGGATGGGGCTCGGGGTTGGTATTGCTTGCGTGAGTCTCATCTCATGACATGACATGATTTATGACATTCGATCATAATAGNTGTCAAAAAAATAGATCCCACTATATTAATTTTTTTAAAAATATAATAATTACAAATTAATTAAATAATAAATTATTAAATATATAATAGAAATGAGTTATGTAATATTTTTAGAGAGAAAATAAATAAATAATTAAATGTGATAGAAATAAGTGATGTGATTTGACATTTGAGTCTGACAAAAAGATAATGGGTGAAGTAAGTGATTGGTGATAGTTTTGAAGAGAAAAATATGATCGGAATAAAATTCAAACACACTCCTGTTTTACTATATAGATATAAAGATATATAGACAAATAAGATACATCTCAACATAAATAATTAACTTTCCATCAACTTTTTTTTCGATTGTAGAGGGATTGATTTTGGTGAGTTGGAAGGAAAGTTAATCTATCCACTTTTTCATCCTCCTACTTTCCCTCCTTACCAAATACGATGTTTTATTTATCCTTCAAATTTTTTATTCTCCCACTTTTTCATCGTACCAAACGGAGTATTAGGATCAGATTGTGGGTGGATTTGTTAATCCAATGTGAGTAGAAGGTTACTGGGTTGTGTTTGTGTGTTCATGTGTGTGTGAAAGAAAGAACATATTGGCATAGGACCCACTATTACATCCTATATGTCAATTTCTGAATGGTTTGTCTGTAAACATATTGATTTAAAGCTCAACCGAA